CAGGGAGAAGAGACAAGCTGAGAAACCAACAGAACAGTTGGAAGTAAATTAAAGATCTCAGTTCTTCATCATTCTCCATTTTCCAGAAAACTCAATTCCCAAATACACTGCATTAGTGGAAGTCTTCAAAACTACTGTCCTAAATGGTTTATAACATTTTTTGTTTCCCTTGAGGCGGAGTTCCCCTCTTGTTGCCCAGGCTGGAGTGCAATGGCATGATCTCAGCTCACTGCAATCTCCACCTCCTGGGTTCAAGTGATTCTCCTGCTTCAGCCTCCCGAGTAACTGGGATTATAGGCATGCGCCATCATGCCCAGCTAATTTTGTATTTTTAGTAGAGACAGGGTTTCTCCACCATATTGGTTAGGCCCATCTTGAACTCCCAACCTCAGGCTATCCACCTGCCGTGGCCTCCCAAACTGCTGGGATTACAGGTGTAAACCACCATGTCCGGCCAACATTGTTATCTTTAAATCTGTGTAATGAATCATATCGGAGGGCTGTGAAGTAGCGATATTTATTGTGCATTTTAGTTGCTCTTTTCTATAGATTCTTCCAATATTAGCATGCTACCTTTCAGGTTTTAATTTGAAATTCCTCTTTTCCCAATTTTAAAAGTTTGAAATAATAAACTACTATTCATACTTCACAAAATCTTGCATGTTGGTGTCAAATTATTAATATCTTAACCACCAAAAAGGATCACTTCCCATACCATTCCTGCTATTGAGGAATTACACTTATTTCTCTTAAAACACAAAATGACTATTTTAGCAACAAATTAGATAGAGCTTCAGTAGCTAAGATATTGATCTCTGGAGAGAATAAACTGTATGCCTGAAATAGAGTAACTCTAAGTACTTTCCATATATTTCTGTGTATATATATATGGATTTGTGATAAAATGCAGACACAGGTGAATGGTAACTGTAACATAACCATAACTTGCCTGTGGCTACTCCACCTTCCCTACCAAGAGCAAAAAAATTTTTAATCAGGTTGGAAAGGGAAGAAAAGCAAAGGAGTTACATAAAGTGACTTGTTCCCTCCCTTGTTTTCTTTTGACATCATGTGACAATTTTAATAGCTCTTTTCTCATTGCAAACAGAAAAGGTATATGGATTATGGAGAGAAAATGATCATGAAAAGAACAATTTTTTATGAAAAGAAAATGGTGTGGAATTCATTGTAGGTAATGATTTTGTGTCATTTTACAAGAAATAAAGACATCTAAATGGTTTTTTATAAACCTCAAAGATGCTTATCAAATATTATTTTTTGATTTTCTAGTTATGGAAAATGTTAAATATACAAGTAACAGAAGAATATAATAAACTGCCTTATACCCAGCTTTAACAATTATCAATTCATGGCCCACCTACTTCCCATGGCACTCCTTTATTTTGAAACAAATCCTAAATAAATCATTTCATCTATAAATATTCAGAATGTATGTCTAAAAGATAAGAACTATTAAAAAAAATAAACACTGGCTGCACATGGTGGCTCATGCCAGTGTTTTGGGAGACCAAGGAACGGGGATTGCTTGAGCACAGGTAGTCAAGCCTGCAGTGAGTCATGATCACACCATGGTACGACAGCTTGGGCAACAAGTGAGATCCCGTCTCACAAAAACAAAAAGAAACAAAAAAACATAACTATACCATTAGTATACCTAATTTTTTTTTTTTCCAGATGGAGTCTTGCTCTGTCGCCCATGCTGGAATGCAGCCACGCCATCTCAGGTGAATGCAACCTCTGCCTCCCCGCCCTGGGTTAAAGTGATGCTTGTGTCATGTCTCAGCCTCCTCAGTAGCTAACAGTACAGGTGCCCACCACCACACCTAATTTTTTTACTTTTAGTAGAGACGGGCTTTCACCATGTTGGCCAGGCTGGTTTCAAACTCCTGACCTCAAGTGATCCACCCCCATTGGCTTCCCAAAGTGCTGAGATTACAGGAGTGAGCCACAGCACCCAGTCTAACTTTTTTTTTTAACCTAAAAATTTGACAATAATTTTTTAATGCCATAAAACACTAGGTCAAATTTTCAAATTTCCCCATACATTTCTTTTATTCTGTGCTTTTCTATATGAGTCCAGATTAGGTGCATACATTGTGATCGGTTGATCTGTCCAAATGTTATTTTAATGGCAATAATGCAATGTATTTTAAAAATTAAACTTAGAAGTTTTAATAAATTGAAATAATTAAATCTAGTATTAAAGGGGTGAATAACCAGATTAAGTCTACCAAGCAGGGCAATGTTGATTATGTGTACTACAAATGTACAGACACGCGATCAAGTTAAGCACTTGGGCGAAAAGGAGGGGAGGGTTGACTTCAATTCTGCCTTTTATTAAAACACTTCCTTCATTCACAAGTTTTAATATGATTTTTATCAAGGAAGTCCACTAAACCATGCTACTAAAACTGTTTTGTTTTGGCTAGGTGTGGTGGCTAATGCCTGTAATAATCCCAGCACTTTGGGAGGCCCAGGCAGGTGGACTGCTTGAGCCCTGGAGGTGGAGAGCAGCCTGGGAATATAGTGAGATCTTATGTCTACAAAAAATTTAAAAATTAAAATAATTAATTAATTAATTAATTAACCAGATGTGGTAGCACACCTTGTAGTCCCAGCTACTTGGGAGGCTGAGGCAGGAGGATCCCTTGGGCTCAGGAGGTCAAGGTTGCAGTGAGCTATGATGGTACCACTGCACTGCTGCCTGGACAAGAGAGTGAGACCCTGTCTCAAAAAAATAAAACAAAAAGCCAAAACCTTCTGTGATCTCTCTGTGGTGTATTTTTTTTTTTTTAATTTTTAGTCTTTTACTTTGACCAAACACTTCCTCCTTCATTTGAAATTAACTTGAAATCATAAAATTTCAGAGTTGGGAGCAATTATGTGGTTTCCTTATCTCAGAGAGTAAGCAACTTTGATATTATTATAATATTGGTGTTTCCAGTGAGAAAGCTACCAGGAGGAAGCAATCTGCTGACAGCTATAGACTGTGTTCTAATTTGTTAACAGATACTACTATATAAGTATGATCAGGAAAAGTTTTATTAGCACAACATGAAATAGCTTTGAATTTGATCCTTTCATAACGGTTGGTAAAGTTAATATTTCCTTTGACATGTTGAAAAAAGCTTGTTATACAAGTAATAAAGTAGTACATTTCATTTACAATTTGAAATAACAAAGGCTAGAAACCTGTCATCCACAGAACCATGCAGAAATCAATATAATTAATGCCAGACTTTTACTATGCCATGACTAGATAATATAAAATTGTGTACTATCAATAAATAAAACATACAGTATAAAATATCTCATGGTATCCTGTTTTGGGACATTTGAAACCACAGTTAGAAATTAAAAAGTCTGCTAGGCGTTATGGCTCACACCTGTAATCCCAGCACTTTGGAAGGCCCCGGCAAACAGATTGCTTGAGCTCAGGAATTCCAGACCAGCCAGGGCAACATGGAGAAACCCTGTCTCTACAAAAATGCAAAAACTAGCCAGGCAAGGTGGCATGCACCTGTAGTACCAGCTACTGGGGAGGCTGAGGCAGGAGGGTCACTTGCACCTGTGAGGTCAAGGCTGCAGCGAGTGGTGATTTCACCACTGTATTCCAGCCTCAGCCACAGAATAAGACTCTTAAGACTCTGTCTTGCCGGGCACGGTGGCTCACACCTGTAATCCCAGCACTTTGGGAGGCCAAGATGAGTGGATCACTTGAGGTCGGGAGTTGGAAACCAGCCTGGCCAACATAGTGAAACTCTATCGCTTTAAAAAAAAAAAAAAAAGAAAAGAAAAAAAGACTCTGTTTCAAAAAAAAAAGAGAGAGGAATTAAGAAGTCTTTCAATATTTGCATATTAACTTCAAATAGTGTCTTCTGAGGTTAAAAAAAAAATTATCAGTGGTTCCTGCTACATCTATTAGAAAATTCTAGATAACATTTCACTGTGGAGTAAATTTATTAATCAAAACAAACATTTTTAATAGAAATTCACAGTTGGGAGCAGTGGCTCACACCTGTAATCCCAGAACTTTGGGAGGCTGAGACAGGCAGATCACCCGAGGTCAGGAGTTCAAGACCAGCCTGGCCAACATGATGAAACCCTGTCTCTACAAAAATTAGCCAGGCATGATGGTGGGTGCCTATAATCCCAGCTTTTCTCAGGAGGCTGAGGTGGGAGAATCACTTGAACCCGGGAGGCGGAGGTTGCAGTGGGCTGAGATTGTGCCATTGCACTCCAGCCTGGGCTACAGAGCAAGAGACTTCTCAAAAAAAAAAAAAAAAAAAAGGGAAATTCACAAGTCTTAGCGCATTTTATATAAGTATGTAAATGACCCATTACATTAAACCTAGGAATCAGAATGCCCAGTGAAACAATTTAAGATCCTAATTGAGTGTTTGATATTTGCAAGGAACAGTATGAGGTGCACCTTCGAACTGTAGAACGAAGTATCAAAATGATACCAAATTAAATCATCTATACATTTAGTTTAAAAGAAGTAAAGTCAGTAATTTAAACTTGAGAATTTTTGGGATCAAAGTTTTTTTAACTCTATGAGTCTTATAAAAATCTGCTAGAATTTATTTGTTCCAAGCTCTATGAGATTAAGAAAAGAAACAAAATCCTGTGTGGACTTTACAAATTTAGAACATTACCATGGTCTGACTACAATCTTGTTTATTTTATTGTTTAGATTGACTTCATTCATTTTCTCCCAGAGCTCCTAATGTACTAAGAGCCCTTTATCTTGTATGTCTTAATTTTTTTCCCTGATTTACCAATATACAAAGATTCAAGCTTTTGATTATTTTAAAACAAGGCAAAAGCATGTGTCATAGTAAATATATTATACTTGATTCAGGTAAGGCAATTACAGAGTTGATTTCTTCAGTTACTATGTAAAAGTGCAGGTGTAAATCTCTGTTAATATACAGAACAGACAGAAGACCACATTGTAACACATCCATTCATCTTACCTGTCTCACAAGGGAGAAGCAGTGTTCACATCAACAATACCTATTCACATTTTGAGATGATGGAAATCCCACCTAAGAAATGTGGTAACAACAATACCACTTTACAGCATGTTCGATAACACAAAAACTACGTGGCAATTGGAACTTTTTGGATTTACAGTCCTGTTTTTTAATCACTTGCATTTGCCTCTGTCTCCACTGTCTCAATTCGTATTTGAAACAAATGGAAAAAATTCTGCAAAAGTAAAAAAAAAAAAAAAAAAAAGCCTTCCTCTTAACTACAAAATGACCAATCAATAAAATCACTGTTAAAAATACTATTAACAGAATCATGGCTTTTAAAATAATAATACTTTATTTTCTGATAATTAATAATATTTATTTCTCTTTCTCTCATGCTTCTTCAAAATCTGGTGGCCCCTGTTATATTTACACTTTATATCTTTAGTCCTCTATTGAATCACCCAGCAGGTCTTTGGTCAACTTCCTCTTGTTAATACCCATGTCCCTCTTCACCTTGTCAATGCTAATTAGAACCTTAATCTGTTTTTCCAAGGTGTTAGCCGGTTAGGTTAAAGGATCACTAGCAAATTTCACGAGGTTCATCTACTGAATCACCTACTTATTAAGTAAAATGTTAAAAAACCAATCTTACTAAACCATATCTACCATTTGGAAGCAGCTTCCCCTAAAATTGTATTTATATTTAGTGTAGTGACATAAATTTGAAGTAAGACTTTTTCTAAGATGGGAATGAAAATATCTATTTTTTAAGGCCAGATTAGGATAGAATAATTTTAAAAAATAATACAAAGTAGAATAGATTAAATTAAGGAGGCTGAAATATAGTCCTTAGAATGGACAAGAAATATTAATTAACTAAATGCCGGTAATAACTGGTTACTTTGGACGAATTCAACATTTCTCCTTTCTTAAGTATGATCTTAAAAGGGTTCATAAGAAGTTTGAATACAAAATGAACAAAATAAAAAAATCCTGAATAGGCTGGAACAGAAGAGGAAGGAAGGCTGGTGATAGTCTAAGAGAAGACTTGTAGCAGGAGCTCCTGAAGAGCAGATGAAGACCAAGGAAAAAGCCATGTGTTTGGGGAGATAAGTATGTATACTTTCAAGTCCTGGCTGCTCGAAAGAAAAGTCAGACACTGGCTTCTGTTTCTGGTGGGTGGAGAAAAAAACAGACATGTTCTCAAGCGATGAGTGCCATCGTCAGGATATACAGTATGATAATACTGCTCACCCATCCTGCTTGAAAAAAAAAATGAAATAATGTTCCTGGAAACCAAGTACTTATGGTCTATCTGCTATAGAATCTCCTTATAACTGGAAAGAAACCTAGAGTTGTATTGGAGATAGAGAGATTGATTAAGGAGCGACTTAGAGAACACTTTGTAAGAATAAAGACTAAGAAAAAAAATCCACCTTGAAAATCCATGCAACAATGCAGGCTTAAAAATGAGGTAGAAGAAGTACATTTAGAAATAGATGAATATTGATATGGTAATGATATACTGTTAAAGTAAAAGAAATAAAGCAGTATAGAAAAGAGTATACGCACTATAAATGTCCTAATTACTATTTCTAAAAATACCTAAAAAAATCTGAAAAGCTGTCAAAATATATCTAGGTATAGCATATCATTTTTATATTTTATTTATTACAGCAAAAAGATGTATTACTTGTATAGCTATTAAAAAATATATGAAAAGAACTATCTTGGGTCAGGGACTCCTCGCCACTTTGTTGGGAAGAGGAGAAAGGGTTAAGAGTAATGAAGGAGGCCTTAGCTTCCATATCTACTCATTTACTAACGAGTCTTCTAGTTGGAAACTCCCAACATCAGGACTGATAAAGAACTAATCTCGGCCGGGCACGGTGGCTCATGCCTGTAATCCCAGCACTTTGGGAGGCCGAGGCGGGTGGATCATGAGGTCAAGAGATCGAGACCATCCTGGTCAACATGGTGAAACCCCGTCTCTACTAAAAATACAAAAATTAGCTGGGTATGGTGGCACATGCCTGTAGTCCCAGCTACTCGGGAGGCTGAGGCAGGAGAATTGCTTGAACCCAGGAGACAGAGGTTGCGGTAAGCCAAGATCGCGCCATTGCACTCCAGCCTGGGTAATAACAGCGAAACTCCGTCTCAAAAAAAAA